TAGTGTTGGCTTTTCAAATCCAAAGGCCTCAGATGTGTACTAAAACATCTTGTGAAAGTGTTAATGGGGGATGCATCACCTCAGAGTCAGACATTGCCAAATACAGCACACTCTTAAGAAAAGAAGAGGTGACTTACTTTCTATGTGAAAACCTCTGAGTTACACAGTTATACAGACAAGGTGGCTGTGACACCATATCCCAGCCTGTCCACTGCAAGCTGTTGAAAATTGCATTGACAGCCAAGACCGGTTTGGCTCAGTGGATAGAGCTTCGGCCTGCAGACTGAAGGGTCCCGGGTTCGATTCCAGTCAAGGGCATGTACCTTGGTTGCGGGCACATCCCCAGTGGGGGCTGTGCAGGAGGCAGCTGATTGATGTCCCTCTCTCATCCATGTTTCTAACTTTCTATCCCTCTCCCTTCCTCTCTGTAAAAAATCAATAAAATGTATTTTTTTTAAAATTGTATTGATAATAATAATATATCCTCTCCTATCTAATAAAAGAGTAATAGGCAAATTAACTATCACTCTACTACACCCACAAGCCACACCCATAAGCCAATCACGAGCAAGTATGGAAATTAACCCAACCAAAATGGCTACAGCAACAGAGCAAGGAGGAGGCTTGGGTTTCCCGGGCAATGGAAGAAGCCAAGCTTTTTGCACACCATGGTTAGCCCAGGCCTCCATTCAAGGCTACAAGGTTTCAATTATAGAAGATAAATAAATTCCAGATCCCAGAGCCTCCATTTGGGTCACCAGGAGGTGTGGCCGGCTGAAAACCACCACAACCCCTCACCCAGGGTACCCTATGCCCCAAGGGAATCCCCAACATTTAAAGGAAGGCTAAAACATGTTGGAAAGTGAAAGATACTCACATTAAAATATTCTGCATATGAATGGTACAGCATTTTTGAAAATTTCTGAAATATTTATAAAAACTGAAATATTCATACCCTTTGCATTGTAACCTTTTAACTGTGCTGTTAGCAATTGTCACCTCTGAGTAGGAGGCTGAAATTTGAAAGGATTTTAAAAGGGGGCAATTATCTATTTTTACAATTTTTTTCCAAGAGAATACGTGCATTATATACAGGATTGTGCTTATAACTAAGCTATTTAAATACACCTAACAGCAGATAAAGTGCTATGTATTAGTCAGTTGAAGTAACTGCAAGCTGATGAGATAGAGGAAAACTGAAATTTGAATGGCTTAACATAACAAAAGTCTTTTTGTGCGCATACAAATTTGGATACAGTTGGGCAGGAGATCTCCTTTATTGGGTGACTCAGGGATCTGGGATACTTCAAGACTGTAGTCCCTCCAACTCAACCCAAAGATGCTATGTTTGCTGTTGAATGAAATAGGAAGGCAGGAATGGTCATACTAGTTCCCAAATGTTTGGATGTGATATTTCTGTCACAGATAATATTTATTGTCACAGATCTCAGTGACAATAAATAGATGTTCCTTCCTAACAACAAGTGGACTGGCAATGTAGTTTTTCCATATACAAAATATGGATGAGAACTTGTAATCTCTCCCATACACTGTTATATATTAGATGCTTAAAAATAAAACCAATTATGATTTGTTATGACAATAACCTTCATTTCTTGGAGAAATTTCTGAGAAGGTCAAACTTGTCTTAAATTCTCCAACTTTTTTCAATGACTACCATGTGACAGGAGATTTCAAATATAAGATCACATGTAATTTTCATAGGATCCTGCAAATATCAGTTGAGTGGGTTTGCCATCTTCACTCAATAACACTTTTCTATACTTCCCTTTGAGATAACCTATATAATCTCAGTTGGCTGAGAATTTTCTCCTTCCTTTTGATGCATGACCAAAATCTTGTGAGTTTCTGCTACCCTCTACATGACTGTACATACCTGAACAGCTATACAGGTGCCATCAGGTACACTGAAAATGATTCTTTTCCTGGGGTACGGACACACAGACATGAAACAGTAGGGGGAAAAGATAATTATTTTTTCATTTGTAATTAGGATGAGCATGTCTATATAGAAACCATTTTTCACCTTACAAGGGGGCTCTAAGTTTGGGGGAATTTAGTCTCTATAGATGTTTTCTCCACAGTGATTTCCATGGTCTTTCTGAATCTACCACTTAGGAAGGAGGAACTTGGATGTGACAAGCTAGGTAAGCTGATTCATCCGTGTATGTGTTGTGTGGCCAGCTTCAAATAAGACACCCCATTAAACTCCTGCTGTAAACAGCAGGTATTCTAACAAACCTTCCCTCTAACTTCAGGGTTACATCCCCAAATTGGTAGATTATGAGTCCAATCATACTGTACTCATTGATTCATTTGGAAAGCATTATAAGAATGTGCTGAATACATCCCCAGGATGTTCAAGTATCTAAAGATCACTGTTCAAATTCAAAGACATTTTTCCATCAGAGTGGTTCCAGGGTGAGGGATGGATGACCAGTACTTCAGCAGGGAGTAGAAATGTTCTAAGCTGGGGGTGGGGTGGTGTGGGGGTGTAGGGGAGATAGGAGATTCAGGGCTGTTCCACTGTGAGTGGCCACAACCTTCAGAGGAGGCAGCAGTGAGCAGCTGGCCAGTGGGCAAGGATCCAGGGTGGACAAGAGGGCACATAGGGGAAGCCCAGGGGAAGGGTGCTGTCATGTGGAAAAATGCACGGACTGGACAGAAATGCCAACATCTCAGCTCTCAAGGGACCCTGGGACTTGGGCAGGCAGAACCTTGGTAAATAAAGGCCACCGACAGAACCCAAACTGTGTTTGACTCGCACTGTCACCTTCCTTCCTTAGGCCTGCTTTTAGTGCCTTGGGCCCAGGGTCCCTTTTTTTATTTCCCTAGAGACATCATGCAGTACTGAGAAGAAAAATGATTTATGAGCCAGAAGGTTAGACACAGTCTGGGATGGGTGTGAACAGCATGGACTTTAGATGGAATTCAGACCAGGGATCCAATCTCTGCCTGTCACTTTCTAGCTATGTGATCCTGGTGATATTAGCTGGCCCTGAGAGCCTCAGGTTCTTCATCTGTGAAGTAGGTGGGTTTGATAAGCCCCCATAGGACTGCAGGAAAGTACTGAGTGTTTGTAAAGCACCTCCTGCCATGCCTAAAGGAGATTGGGACTATGATGTATGCCAGTTATTTTTAAGATTATATTATCTTAAGCCCTACTATTCTCTACTCTGGAAGGGTTTTTGTTGTCATTATTGTTGTTATCTACTACATTTCAGGGAGCATTCAGATCAGTAGGATATGCAATACTAAACTAGCCAAAGACATGGATAGACCTTGAGAAATTAATCAATCAGAAAAAGCTAAAAACTATTTGATTTAACTCATATGTGGAATATAAAAGTGAAACTTATGTACACAAACAGCATTATGGTGGTTGCCAGAGGGAGGGAGTGTGGGGAAAATAGGGTCCCAATATCAGGTGACTTTGGGTGGTGGGCATATGATCCTATATACAGATTTTGTAAATTAGTAATTCACACATGTAACCTATATGTTCATATAGACTAATGTCTCCCAAATAAAATCCTACATAATTTAAAAAAATAATATATATGCTAGTCAAAGACTCTCCTTTGTAAACAAAACCTGCTAAATGTTACTTCCTTCTTAAAAGATACATTCTAAAATTGAGGAGTGGGGGTACTTTTTCCAGCTGGATGCATTTAAAGTTCCAGGAAACTGAGTCAAAGACCAACTCTGTTTCTCCCTGACAGCTGTTCTTCCATCTAAACCATGATTTTCATTCATTTTACTCCCAACAAAAATCTATACATTGCTTAGAATAGCCCAATTTACATGAAAGGTAATGTAATTAAATGGAGTCAGCTCTGGCTACCCCAGGGCATGAAAAGGGGTGCCTGGCACAAACTCTGAGAGTCTAGCTGCTACCACCACCCAGCTTCATCACAATCAAGGCCCACAGAGGGAGTCACTGTTGCCCCAATCCCCAAACTGCCCTGGATGAGGCCATTTACACTTGAGTGCTGTCCCCTGGAGTCCCACTACCTCTCCCCTTCTTTTGTTTCTTCTGTAGTCTTTAAGGGACACCTCACCCCCTTCCTTATAAAACTTCAGCACCTAAACTATCATCCCATGGGTGGGTGTGCCCTGCTCTTTCCAGTGTGCAGAGGATCAGCCAATGTCTGGGAAATAAATGAATCACTGAGCAAGGGTCATCTTCATTTCAATGAAATGTTATCCACTTTCTTGGATGAACCAAGCAAAGCCAAGGATCCTTATGTAATTTGTCTTATAAAAAGTACAGATGAGATGGGATAAGAATCAAGAATTAACAACCTTTTGCTTTTATTTTTCTATTTCTTGACTCCACCGATTGCACTGCTGAATTCTTTCACATTTCCAAGGAAATCCTGTTCTGATGTCATATTATCTAGTTTGTATCACAAACTAAGCTGAAACGTGTTCCACTTTGAGTTACACAGTAGCAAATCTCTTACTCCTTTTTTGTTAATTCTCACAGGAGGATTTTATCCCTGTTGATTTTTACAGAAGGGGGATGGATATACAGAGAGAGAAACGTAGATGTGAGACAGACATCAATTGACTGCCTCCTGCGACCTAGGTATGTGCCCTTGACTAGAAATGAACCTGAGACCCTTCAGTCCTAGGGCCACATTCTAACCACTGAGGAAAAACTTCCTAGGGCAGAAAATCTATTACTGGACAAGTACAAATACATGTGTGACCAACGTCTTTCATACACTTAGATGCTGAAGCTTATGAAACCTTCTATGAAAAAGAACATTTGAAAATTCCTAAAGGATACATTTCTAAATCATCATAGGAACCCAAAGATGCTACAGCCCTTATCCCCAACTCACCCTAGACCTCATGAACTGGAACGTTAACGGTCCTCTTCTCAAAAGCAGAGGAAAGAATTAGCCTCACACCATGTCCAGCAGGAGAAGATGCCAGACATGGGCGTGAAATGTGCTTGGTTGCAACTTGGCTCAGGTCCCCTCTTCCTCACCACTCATAGCCTCTTCAGACAGGGATGGGATGGAATTGGGAACCCTTTTATAAACCCTGAGCAAAAAATCAAGGACTTTCAACTTGGTGGTCTCAGCATGGGCTCTGGGACCCCACAGGAACTCATAGCGAGCAGGCTGGCTGTTGGGCACCTGCCGGTAATCCAGGTATTGTTCCTGCACCCAAACTTTGGTGAGGAGCTCTCTAGGCTCCCCATAGATACAATGTTCCTTCCAATCATGCACCCCCCTGACATGCAGGGCTTTCCAGATTTCCTCCTCAGAGGCACAGTCACCCTCTGTAGCAATCAGCCACAGAACTGCAACCAGGAGGCCAGTGTTGGGAAACCTGTGCCCATCGCCCACCATCCCATCATAGGTGAGGCCCAAGGTTGTGACCAGGACATAGGTGTGGGTTCTGGGGTTCACTTCCTTCACATCAATGCCAAAGACCAGCTGCATGCACTCAGAAGCTGCGTCGACGATTTCAGGGAAGTGGCCCTGGTGCTCTTTGATGACCATACTCAGCATTTCTGCCTTTGTGGTTGGCTCTTTTATGCAATACTTCAGGAGCAGGAATGCAACCAGGCAAGCCTTCTTCAAACATAGGGCACCTTGGAGAGTGGACTCAGCCTCTTCAGAGCCCAACCTGCTGCTTGGCCCCTCCTTATCTGGGCTGCTGGAGCTCTCATCTTCAGGTTGGCTACATGGAGAGGCTGCCATGGCAGTGGGGGGAAGGCAGGCACCCTGAGGAGGACTTGGTGTTTCAGCAGCAGCTGCCTCCTTTAGGCTCTCTTGGAATAGGACTGAGGGTGGGAGACACAACCTCTTCCTCCCCCTCAGTGCTGAACAACTGCACTGCCACCAGTTTCTGGTTCTCCCTTGGGTCCTGATGGCCTTCCTTAGGCTTACAAAGCTCACTCATCTGATGGCGATGCATGGTGACTCGTGCTGGGACAGTGACAGAGTGTGGGAAGGTGGGCAATGGGGACCCACAGGCCTGTGAGAGAAAGGGAGTGTGAGGGGCCTCAGCTGAGAAAGGCACCCTAGGCAGATGGGACAAAGGTGACTTACAGGTCTCTTTTTTAGGGGTTTTCTCGAGCCTCACACAGTTCTCTCCTCACTGGCCTGTCGAGTAAGATCACGAAGGAGGAAGTGAGAAGGCTTCTCTGGGTGCAGCTGGCACAGCCCACAACTCTGGGAAAGAGAGTGTGGTGAGGTGGGATTGGGTGTTGTGGGGTCTCTGTTCTGATGATCACCTCTGTGCTCACTGAGGGTTTTCACCAGTCCCCGGGCAGGGCCTTCTTCTCCCCCTCTGCTGGCCTGAGACAAGACTCTCAGAACAAGACACGCACTTCTGAGAGTAACCAGAAGGACTTCGGGTGGCCCCACATCTGGCCACACCTTCCCAGAGTCTAATAGGTGTCACCAAGGAACAATAATGTGCCACCTTACTCTATTGATTCCATCTGTCCCACTAAGTCTTTACCCTTTCACTGTCCAGGAACTAAAGCAACTGCATCTGCTGACTTGAGGTTACCCTCCTAAAGGAAAGGCCTCATCTCCCTAGACAACGGCAGAGGAAGTGAGGGGAGCCAGTACATCCACAATACCAGCTCTCCCCATTCCTGACAAAAATGGCTCAGCAGACCTTGGGCTTTATGTATGCTTGTTTCAAGGGTGCCCTCATTCCTCATTGTGACCACCCTGCCAACTCATGGGAACCTGACTCAACTTCTGTCCAGACCCTCAGACCAAGGCTCTCCCCTCACCCAGGCCACCAATTTAAAAATCAGGAGGGACTTAGACTGACAGCCTAGCCCAAGGTTTCTAGGGCTGAGATTAGGGGAAGGCTGGATTTCTGTGGTGTCCCGTTTTTGTCTCAGGGATTGGGGTACACTCCCTCCTCCCTAGAGGTCCTCTCCTTTACTTTGGCCTGACCCAATACTCTTGTCACTGTTGAGCGGATACCCTTCCTCAGATGACCGGACTTTGTCCACTCAGACCAAGGTCTTCACCTACCTGAGAGCCCCAAAAAACAAATGTGGAGGCACTACACTGCACAAACTCCAGGGGTAGCCTCAGGTGGCTACCATATCCCCTCTCCACGCCCCCTCTGTCCCACCCCCCAGGATCCCTGCCATCATCATAAAATGCTGAGAGCAGGTACTGGGCGCTCTGCCCTGGTTGTATTCCCGGTGCCCCTGTAGGTTATTCATTTTTACTCAAGGCCCTACCTTCATGCCTCCCACCTGGATACTCTCTCTCTCCCCCTTAGAGAAAGACCCCACCTCACCGAGGACTCCCCACTTTCCCACACATAATAGAAAGGAGTATGCCACTTAGATCCACTGCTGTTCCTTTCCGAGTTGAAGACTGTGGACAGCTGGCCTTTGAATCATCCCTCCTTTTCTGAGAAGGGGGTGTGCATTGAGGCTTCATGGGATTGTGTGTTCACACCGGGCAGATCCTCGGACTTGTTCCGCTGCTGATCTTGGGTTAACTCTCATGCCTAGGTCCTCACATCCCCAAAATCCCCCAGTCCACATGCATGTGGCAATAGTAGGAGTTTGCAACATCCAGCCCTTTCTGCCAGGGTCCCCGACATTGGGGGGTCCAGGGTCACTTTAGTGCTCCCTAAGCTGACCTGTGGCTCTGCTCCTTACGCTGGACCTGGATGGGGAAGTCAGGAAACTATGTCTGTGGTCACCCCACTCACAGGTCCTCCTAGGACAGAGTATTCTGGTTCCCAGTGTCTCCTATTTCTCCCTCAGGGTCCTCAACTTGACAGCAGCAGGACCTGGGGTCCGCCCTCTACTGCCTGAAGCCCAGCTCCTTCTGCCAAACCCACAGTGTCTCTCAGACCTAGATGCAGAACTCACAAAGCTCAATGTGCGAGATCACCCCTCCCTCACTCCTAGGAGGCCTGGGACAGACACTGTTTTGGGGTCCAGGGTCCCCCAGTCTCCCTCAAGGTCCTCAACTTGACAGCATCAGCATCTGAGATCCCCCACCCCTGATGCCTTAAGCCCTGCTCCTCCTACAAAACCCCCAGTGTCTCTCAGACCCAATGCAGAACTCACAAAGCACAATGTGTGAGGTTACCCTCCCCCACCCCGGGAGGCCTGCCCATGGACACTGTTCTGGGGTCCAGGGCCCCCAATCTCCCTCCGGGTCCCCACACTGACTCCCGGCAGGTCCCAGACACCCTCTGCCGACCTGACACTCGGCCATGACACGGAGCCCCCGAGTGTCTCCACCCGGAAGAGGCGGAAGTCAGTCCTCGAAGCTGGTGGTCACCCCGCACCTTGGGGCCCCTGGGACTGACTGCTCTGGGGCCCGGAGTCACCTTGTCTCCTCCCAGGGACAGACGGCCCTCACCATGAGGCCTGCAGGCCCTGGCCCTCCCTCTGTGAACCGGAGCCCGGGCCCCCACTGGGAGCCCTCAACCCCGACACCCGAAGGGCGGTCCGTGGACCTAGCTGTCCAGAGCTCCAGACAGGGGCTGAACTAGACCCCAGGGCCCTCCATGGGGTTCTCACCCCGGTTCCAGGCAGAGTCCGGACCCGCCCGTGCGACCTGAGAGCGCTCCCCTCAGCTTGTCCCCTCCGCCAGCCCGAAGCCGGCTTCTCAAGATGGCGCTGAGCTCCCCGGATTCTCAGGTGGACGTCACCATGAGGCCTGCAGGCCCTGGCCCTCCTTCTGTGAACCGGGAGCCTGAGACCCGAGACCCGAAGGGCGGTCCGTGGGCCTCAGTGCCCAGGGCTCCCGGCAGGGCTGAACTGGACCCTGGGGACCTTCGTGGGGTTCTCACCCGGTTTCAGGCAGAGTCTGGGCCCCGCCCGTGCGGACCTGAGAGCGCTCCCTTCAGCGCTTTTCCTTGAGCCCCCCATCCGCCACCCCCCCGTTCTCTGAGGAGGCAGGCGTTCAAGGGGTGAGGAAATCCTGCTCAAACACCACCACCACCACCCCGGGGTCTCCCTGGGTCCCGGGACCTCAGTCTTCCCTCAGGGTCATACCTGGGATCTGTCCCTCTAGCGACCTGAAGCCGGCCTCCCACACATGGAGCTCGCTCTCCTCGCTCAGACCTCCGGGGCAGAAGTCAGTGGGCAGACTTCCAGAAGGGCTTTCTGGGGTCCCCCGGCCTGAGAGCAGGGGCAGAGATGGGTCTAGAGGCCTGGGAGTGCTGACTCTGTTCCCCTCCGGCATCTGACAACACCAGGGCCCCTGGCCTCTGGGGACCCGAGTCTGTGTCCCTCAGACCTTGCTCGACTCCCCTAGATTCCTGGGCATGTGGAGGCATGTGCTCAGCCTGACAGCCCCACCCAGGGCCCGTAGAGCTGACAGGAGCACGAGGAGGTGGATTCTGTAGTGCCCTCCGTTCTGAAGCCCGAGGACCCCGAAATCCTCAATCAGGAGGGGCTCACACTTACAGAGATCACTGCCATACCAGGACCAATGCTGGAGGGGGCACTACTGCGCCCAGGATATGGCAGGAGCAGAGAAGAAGGATTATTATGGGTGAGGTTTAAAAGTGAAATCACCTGCATTGGACAAGGACACACAACCACAATGCCACAACACTTCCCCAAATCCCTGCTGCTGCTCAGCATCTTCAATAGTAGCTAACCTTTAGAACCCACAGTTTCCACAGTGTCAACTAAGCTGGTGAAGAAGCCCCATGAGACCCTTTAATCTTCTTTGCTCTCCATCCCTTCGAACAGGGCTAGGAAGAACCTGGGATCCTTGCTATTGGCCCTGAGCTAATATTTCAGGACTTTCAACTTGCTGGTTTCAGCGTGGGCCCTGGGACTCCTCAGGATCTCTTTTTAACTGGGTAGTACAAATACAGCTTTGGTCAATGTCATTCACACACTTAGATGCTGAAGCTTGTGAAGCCTTCTATGAAAAGAAACATTTGAAAAATTCCCATACAAAACAAGGATAAATTTCAACATCATCACAGGTACCCAAAGATGCTACAGCACTTCCCCAACCCACAACTTGCCCTGGGCTTCATGTAAAGTGAAGAATTAGCCTCACATCATACCCAGCTCGAGAAGCAGCCAGACATGGGCCTGAAACGTGCCCGGGTGCAACTTGGCTTAGGACCCCTCTTCCTTGCCACTCATAGCCTCTTCAGACAGGGATGGGATGGAACTAGGATCCATTCTATCATCTCTGAACAAAAATTCAAGGACTTTCAACTTGGTGGTCTCAGCGTGGGCCCTGGGGCCCCAAAGAAACTTATAGTGTGCCACATCACTGTTGGGTACCTGCGGGTACTAGCAGGTTCTGTTCCTGCACCCAAACTTTGGTGAGGAGCCCCTGTGGGATCCTATGTTCCTTTCCATCATGCACCCCAATGACCTGCCCAGATTTCATCCTTGGGGGCACAGTTGCCCTTCTTGGCAGTCACCCACAGAAGTGTAACCAGGAGGATATTGTTGGGAAATATGTGCTCATTGCTCACCACCCTTCTCCTAAGGTATCTTGCAAAAGAGGGGATCACAAAGGCAGAAATGTTGAATGGTGTCATCAAAGAGTACCAGGACCACTTCCCTGAGATCTTCATCCAAATCTACAGTGCATACGGCTGGGATTTGGAATTGATGGGAGAGAAGTAGACCCAATGACCACTGCTATGTCCTGATCACCACTGTGGACCTTACCTATGATTGGGAGCTGATCAAGAAAGAAGATCTGACCAAGAGAGACATCAATACACAAGG